CATGTTCTTTGGCTAACTCAAAAATCTCAGCTCTGAGCTTTCCAAATTTCTCTTCAATTATGACCTTCTGAATCTTTTTAAGGTATGGAGGAATTTCTTGAACATCTTTCACTTGTTCATCACTTTTTGTGGAAATGGTTGCAACAATATCAGATACTTCAGACTTTTGTTTCATTCTGTCATTCTCCCCTGTGAGCTCACTAGACCGTATTGGTATGGTGAATTTAGGTACCCACACCTTCTTTCTTGACGACGATGAATTGAGACGGGGTGTCTCAATAGAGGCATCGACATGTCGGAGAGAGACATGCTCCCCGTAGTACGAACCAAACACAATATTGGGTAAGTTCTTTATCTTTTCCTTTTTTGAGGCATTTTTATTGGTAATAACTGGTTGAGTCCTTGGACCCAGATGTGACTTAACTGATCCACGTCATGCAGACCTTGGTGCGGCATAAGTAACAAAATCGGCGATAGTAATGGCAGTATCAATTCGACTTTCTAGACGGAATTTGATGGTAATACGTGTTGGTAAAGCTTCAGTTGACTTGTGGGACTGTTGGGCAGTCCTGACATCCTTCAGAATTTCTTTTTTCATTTGAGAAGATACTGCATATTTCACTCATTTAAGTAGTTTGACCATTGAACATCCTTTTTTAGTGGCCAATCTATGGAACACTGTGCAGACTTTAGTGATAGGAGTGGGCTTTTCCCTCTCTTCACTACGACCATGAAGTGATGGTAAGGCAACAACGATCCTTTGAATACTCTCATATCCATTAGTATTCATCAGCAGGTGAAATCTACTCCCTCGGAGAAGCAGATAGGTCTCTTGTAATCCAAGTTACTCCTCCTGAGGATGCTCATCATCCGACACTTTTTCTAAACTTTGGGCCTTAGCTGCCCTTCGAGCTTTTCGGCTGCGATTCTTTCTCTGTGATCGAGTCAGCGACACAAACTTTGAACTTGAGTTGATCTTAAACACTGATGGAGAGACGGTAAAATCTTCAGTTTCATCTTCTATGATCATAATCTCCTTTCCTTTAGCAGAAAAGAGGACAACAGACTTGGCAGGTGCCGGGGGAGCGACAATTTTCACCATCTTGCAAGAAGGGAAATCTTGGGGACAGTTTAGGTTAAATTCAACGGTAGGCTTTTGAGCTTCCGGAGCTGCGACCTTCATTATGACGATCAGGGCTTTTTCGAGAATGACATCCAGTTCATCGAATCCAGTTCCAAACTTGATGGTGGAGCGACATTGCGAGCATTGCGGCTAGTTGGTAAATTGCAGGAAAAGGTAAGCGTTGGGAACGTCATTGTAGCAGCTTCAAAAGAAATTGCTGGAGTTAGTTATTTGGCCAACACCTTGTAATTATAGTGCGAACACTAAAAGTTAACAAATACCGATATTTAGACTGAGCAAATTTCATTTAATTTTTAGTTTGCAAAGATTTTAAAATTTAGTAAAAAAAGTTTGAAAGTAGAGGGATTTAATTAATTAAATAAGAAAGGTTAAAAGAGCAAGCACAACACGACACAACTCGATTTTATTTGCAAAGTAGCAAACCAAACTGGAGAGGGAAAGTGAAGCTTAGGACCTAGTGCGGGACCAACTTTACAATGCACAATGCCCAGGTGGAGCTAGTCCACCAACACACCTATTGGGGGTCCGTCCTCACACAAAGATAAAAAGTCCTAATGAACTCTTGAACATCTTTGTTCAAAGGTGATTGAACAGATGGTTCTGAAGTCCGGAAGAGTTGATCGTACTTACCCAAGAAAGAAATGGGTAAAGCATGACAATAGACAAAGTATAATTTGATCCATAAGGAACATGGACACATTACCGATGTATGAAGATAATATTTCCTGATTAATATGGAGAGAGAAACATATCCCCAACGGAGTCGCCAGTAGCTGTCGGCACAATTTTAGGGGGATCATCCTATGGAAGCTGTCGGTCACCGGAATGGGAATCCCGTGGTGCACTACACCTCAAGCTATGTATCTACCTCGAAAGACAGACACATAGCTTGATAGTGAGGCTCAATCAAATAAACTAAAAAATGTATAACATCTGTTTGGTCTGTAAAACCATTTTATTATAAGCCGACAAGTTTCCCTATTTAATATAGAAAATTAAATAGAGTTTATATTAAGTTGGGTTCTTGAAAGTTTCTTATAAAGGCAAGCCCTTATAGTTAATTACACCTTAGATAAGCGAAGTCATCTAAAAGAACTCTCGATAAAAATCAGGGAATATTATCTTTAAGAATTTCAAAGGATAGAACTTTTCAAGGAGATCAGACAAAGAGGCGTGAAAGGGGATTGTCTCGAATTTGGAACATTTTATTTTTGGAATCTAAAAGGAGAAGAACTAGGGGATAACACAAATCCTAAAGAGAACCTCGGTGACTTCCCAAGCTACCCTACTATTTGTCTTCAATTTAGAGAAGAAATATTTAAGTGTTTCATCATGTCAATTTTATTAATTAGGGCTTACATTCGTATGAAACAATCACACAAATAGCCTAGAAGATGTGAGGATTTAGGTCGTAACAAACGACAATCTCAGAATCCTAAAATGAGTTAGAGCTTATATTGTATAGCAGGGCTATACAAAGACCTAAATGAAAAGTGAGGATTTATGTTGCACTTGGCGGACAACTTCAAAATCCTATGACTTTGTTTAATCCTAAGGAATGGTTTAGCTGGTGTAGACATATTTTTCTGTTGAACTTGACAGTGCTGCCCACGATGCTAGCTCCAAACTTCTTGTCATGACGAGTTTAAGTTTTCTAATGTGCCAGGTTCTGATGTCAAATCAAATGCTTCCTAAGGTTATGGTTATTCAAATATTATGGGGGATTTTAAAGTTGACCGTGTGACATATCGTTAGCAACAATAGGTTACCTCCTCTAAGGGATTCCCGATCATTTGATAGAGATGTTTTAATTTAGTTGCATTTTTTTTCGTTTTGTTTGTGGTTAAACTTTGAGCTGTCTTGTATTTTGAATGTTGTGGTGGTGAGCTTCATTTTGTTTGATTTTAGTTTTGGTTTCAGTTTGGTGGCTATTGTAAAGGTTTTGGTTTTGACATGCAAAGTGACATGAGCATGACTCATATGGCTTGCATGTGGCTTGAAGATGACTTCATGGCTTGTCCTTGGCTTGGTCAATTTGTATGAGAAAAGATTTTTGGGTTTATGGGGTATTTTTGTGGAGTTTGTCACGAGGCTTGATTTGGTGTTATGAAATGATGAATTTCAAGGAGTATAGTTTGATTTAATCAAATGGATGATGGGAATAAATTTCATGCCATGTGGGCTTTGGATTTGGGCTCTTGGAATTAAGTGTGGTGGGTTTGAGCTTTTAAAATTAGAGGTGAATTTGGGCTAAAATTTGGGTCAATTAAGTGTTGAATATGGTGTAAAGAGATGTCATAAGGAATTTGGAAAGAGTTTCAAGTGATTTTGAATTAAATTGGAAGACTAATTTGGTGGATTTAGGCATATGGTCAAAATTGGGGCTTTTTATTTGGAAATTGGGGCTTTTTTGGTCAAAATTGGGGCTTTTTATTTGGGTGAAATTGAGCTTTCAATTGGGTCAAATTGGGCTTGAATTTTATTTAGACTAGGATTAGAGATATTGAATTTTGAGTTGGAATTGAAATTGGGCAAGATTGTGATCAATTGAGCCAAGATTGGGGCCAATTTGAGGAAATTTGGGCCTTTAAGGGCAAATTGGGGCTTTTGGTCAAATTGGGTCAATGTGATTGTTAAGAAAATGAAATTGGGAATATTTGGGAATTTCTAAAATCTTTGAAATTTTTTTGTCATGAGGGACATTTTGGTAATTTTGACAATTTTGGGGGTATTTTGAAAATTTGGTGATTTTAGTCAATTTTGGTCAATTTAGGCAGCGGTGAGTGATTTGAAATGGTTTTTGGACAAATTTGGGTATTTTGGGCAATTTTGGGATTTTTAGCAAAAATTAGGTTTGTAGGGTATTTTGGTAATTTGGTGATTTTGGGCCAATATGAGCAAATAAGCCATGAAACCATGCCAAACCAATAGGAGCCATATGAGGATTCATTTTGGATGTTCAACATGCTGGTCCTAACCCTCTTAGCCAAGGACTAGGGGTATAGCTCCATTGATATGAGCTCTCCAAAATGAATTAGGAGAACAACAAAAGGGGTCCTGAGGTTTGGGGTGTGTAAGCAAGTATGTGCAAGCTAACCAAGCCAAGACCAGACCACCCAATGTTAATCTTAAGATTTGACCATCCTATGGGGACTCTCCTTGAGCTCGTTCATACTGACCCCACCTACTAAGTGCTAGAGGTTAGGACTAATATGTGGAACTTCAAGTTGAGCAGATAAGAGTTTAGAATTTCAAATGATGAGGGTTCCGTTTTTATTCCTCTAGGAATAGTTAATAAGAAAGTCCTATGACTAGACCTTAGGCTACTAAAAAGAAAAAACTAGATCTCAACAAAAAATGAGATCAACAACACTATATTCAAATTCAAATTATAATGCAAATTTAGTATAAGATCAACACAATTCATCACATTAAAGATGGTTTCCATAACCGTTTCATTCGTTATGTAATTACACAAATATACCTCTATAAATATGAGACAAACAAATGAATAAAGAGACACTTTACCCGATTTCACTACAAAAATTTGTTTAATTATTCTCTCCTTCTCTCTCTATTCATTTTTCTCCAGGCTCTAAGTATATATATATATATATATTCAAATATTAAAAAGTTTGCATACATATAACATAATTTTGATGTATTTATATTTTTTTAATGCTTTTACTTTTAAATTGATAATAATTTTATGCTGAAAAATTATATTTTATTTTTGAAAAATTATAGTTTCTTATTGAGCCGAGGTTGTTTTTGAAAATTTCTTAAAAATATTATATTATACTCATTTTCTCTTCACTTCTTCCAAATACTACTTTTGTTTACTGGAATACCGTAGTGATTTTGTTTCTCGCCCTTTATTTTGCCCGCGGCGCAACGTCGAACCTACTGGGATAAAAGAGAATACGATGATAATAAGATGATGGATCCTGGAATGAACCGCTTCGGCTTTGCGCCTGTGTCGCTGAGGGAGGAGATGGAGACCCTCCCACTTGCTGACGGGCCCATCGCCGCCGTCCCTGCCGACGAAAACGGCGCTGGCGACCCACTCCTCCATCCCCTCCAACCTAACTCACCTTTCTCCTTTTCCTCCCCTCCCCCGACATCCTCTTTTCCCGACCCCCCTGCTTATCTTGAGGGAGTCTCCCTGGAAGCCACAGACCCTATCAAAGGTGCCATATCTCCTTCCCATCGTCGGAAGTCCCGTGAAGACTCCGATTACCTCAACATCACCGTTTCCGATCCCCAAAAGGAATCGGAGTCGACCGTTTCCCTCGTACCTGGCGCGGGCACCTTCGTGTCCTATCTCATCACCACCCGCACTTGCGCCGCGGATATCTCGGGCTCCCCCCTGGAGTTCTCCGTCCGTCGCCGCTTTCGAGATGTTGTCACCCTTGCCGACCGCATCGGCGAGTCGTACCGTGGCTTCGTCATTCCACCACGCCCCGACAAGAGCGTTGTTGAGAGTCAGGTGATGCAAAAGCATGAATTCGTCGAACAGCGCCGCTCCGCTTTGGAGAAGTATCTTTCCAAGCTCGCTGAACATCCTGTCATCGGGAAGAGCGATGAGTTGAGAGTTTTTCTCGAAGCGAATGGTAAGTTCCCGCTTCCAGCAACGGCAGACATGGCTTCCAGGGTTCTGGATGGTGCTGTGAGGCTGCCAAAGCAGTTGTTCAGTTCCGGAGAAGCGGGGAGTGGATACGTAGCAGCCCCGCAGGATGTGGTGCAGCCGGCAAAAGGAGGAAGGGATTTGTTAAGGATGTTTAAGGAGTTGAAGCAGTCGGTGTCTAATGATTGGGGAGGAGCGAAGCCATCCCTGGTGGAAGAGGACAAAACATTTTTGGAGAGAAAGGAGAGGGTACTGGAGCTGGAGCAGCAGCTCTCTACTGCGTCTCAGCAGGTATGAGTTTACTTTTGGTAATCATACTACTGTTCCATCGTTTAAACTTTCTTTAACTGCTGAATGTTTTTATTGGAATTATGTTGATTCTGATTTTGAGTGGTAGATGATGAACACTTAACAGGCATGAATTTTTCAATGGAGGTGTAATATTGTAGAAAATAGAACCCATATATTGTTATGTTAGCTTTGGGATGAAGGGTGTTGCCTCCTTTGTGGTTTAGTTAGGCAGAAATTTGGCAGAAAATAGTTGTTCAAGTGTTACTGCATATTTTGTGCTTTGCTGGGAGATCACAATGGTGTTGTGCTATTTGTTATTTTGATGTGGAGAAATAATTAGGTACAGACTACGAACACAGCTCTAGGTGATGAAGTTAATCTCATAGTTACACTTGTAAATTACACTTGTAAGTTAATCTCTTAGTTATATATATATATTCTCAATTATTCTATTTTCTTCGAGAGTCAGCAAAAGACCGACTATTATATTTGAGTTTGAATGTTGAAAATTTCCATGGATTTAGGGGTATTGCAAATTGCCGTGATGAGAAATAGAAATCATGATTTTAAAAAGTTTCATGAAGATGGAAGGATTGTAGATGAAGGATGAAGATTTCACATTTTTAATGGTTTCTTTCTCAATAATCATGTTTGAATTTATCACTTTTAGGGTTTAAAAAGACAAGCTAAAGCATCTTTTCGACAGGCCTTTAGAGTTTATATGTTCCTTGTTTCAAATATTATCAAAACCTAGCAAGAAATAATAGTTCTTGTTATTATCAAAAGAGGTATACACTTGAACAAAAGTAGAAGCTCTGCTGCATGTGAGATATAAATCCTAGTGAATGATCAACATTTGTTTTCAACCAACAAAAACATATTTACTACAATACTAGTTACATGACATAGAAATAGTGGAGTTCAATGCAATTATAAGTGACACTCATGTGATTATTGTGACATGCTTATGAAACTATGATATGCCGATGAAATACTTTTTTCATACAATTGTCATCTTTCCCTGCATTATATGCCTTTTCTTTTACATGTTTTATACGATCATAACATGTAGTGACATGTGTTGTGGACATGTACATGAGCTATATATGATCATGCATGTTATTTCTTTTCTTCTTAAAAAATCTTTTTTTAGCCTTTGATTATTTCGCTGAGCCTGTAGCTCACTCTATATTGTTGATTTCTGTAAAAGGGTAAGGAACACCAGGACGAGTAGCCATACGTGATCTGTATAAATTTTGCATTCTATTGTTTTGATGGTTTTACAGACTTTTTGGTAGATACTTTTATTATGGAGTTAGTAGCTCACTATAAATATATCTACATATATTTACATACATATATATATATATATATATATATATTTACATACATACATACATACATAATGTACATATATATATATGTACATATATATATATATGTACATACATATATGTACATACATATATGTACATACATATATGTACATACATATATGTACATACATATATGTACATACATATATGTACATACATATATGTACATACATATATGTACATACATATATATAGATACTAGATACATACATACATACATATATTATATATACATACATACATACATATATTATATATACATACATACATACATATATATACATATTTATATTGGTGATATGATTTTTCACGCTTCCAAGTATATGAATATGAATGAATAATAAAATAAAATGAATCATGTACTTGTGTGGTGATTTAGTTAGACTGATTCTTTGCCCTTCAGGTTTTGATTTTGCAAGTCATGACTGATGCTGGTGAGAATTTTGTTTGGCCGGATCGTTCGCCTTTGTTGCATTGCAGTTGACCCTTAAGTTAGGGCCAGTTGGGGTGTGACACCTTAGGTTTGAATCTTGTACAAACTTGAACCCATGCCAATGCTTCCACCCAGCTGCGTTCTTCCTTCTTCCATCTTCCAAGACCTCTAAAACCCTTCTCCACCTGTCAAAAATATCGGTCATATCCTGAAACAACCCTAATTGATGCTATGTCAACCCACAAGCACCACATATAATTCATTCTTCCATTCACCTCTTGGTCAACCATGTAACCCCTCAAAGTCTGAGCCTTCGAGTCCTCATCAAATTCCCCTTACAACTAATTCACACTACTTCTACTTGAGATTGTTAAACTTATCATTTTGTCTTGATATCCCAAATTTTAGCACCATCTTTAAGTGCGTTTAAAGCCATTTTTTTCCTGACAAACCTCATTTATGTTTTTCTCTTTTGTCAATATTGTGTTTTGTGCCAAAAGATTGCTAAATTTTATATTAAGCCCCATAAAGACATGCTTCTCTTTATTTTGCGCTATAGCATTGTTTGGCTGCATATTTATGAGAAACATTATTTAATTTTACATATTTAGAGCTAAGGGAATATTTGAGGGAAGAGAGGGGACTTGGAGGACTAGTTTAAATTACCTGTAATGTAGTCTATAGGTCTCAAGTTCAGTTGTGTACATCAACTCTTTCCTAAATCCTGCTTTGGCAAGAGCTCAGTTAGCACACACTTGTTTTTAGAATATTTGAAGAAGTTTGATAAGAATGCAATTGGATTGGCAAGGTGTTGAGATCACCAAATATGTTGGAATATGGTGGGATTGTGAATGTTAAGATGAATATGCTTAAAACTTGAAAATATTAACAAAGAAGTGATTTGGTTATCTGGAACAAAGATTGCAATGCACAAATAATATGGGAGATAAAATAAAATATGAAAGGAATTATATACTTAAAAAAGAGCTAGACCAAAGATAATATTGTAGAATTTGTGAAGACATTCAAATTAAAGGAAGATTTACATACATACCACTCGATTCCTATGAATTTACATATTTAACACGTAAACTTCAATATTTACATAAATACCACCTTATTCTACATTTTAAAAGTTAAAATGGTGGTATTTCTATTGTAATATGAATGATTTTGGTGGTATAAATGTAAACAGTAAAATAAATGTAAACTGTAAACAGTAAAGTTTAGGTGTTAGATATGTAAATACATAGGAATTGAGTGGTATGTATGTAAATGCCCGTAAATTAAAAGATAAAAATATATTAGCACTGAACATGGATGGATTGAGGAGGATTTATAAACTTTGAGTACTCACTAAAAATAATAACTTCTATGCAGGCTGAAGCCCTTGTCAAAGCTCACCAGGATATATCAGAAACAATGGGTGAGTTGGGATTGGCATTTTTAAAACTTGGAAAGTTTGAATCAGAGGAAGCTGTATGTGATTCTCAGAGAATAAGGGCTGCTGATTTTAAACATTTAGCTACTGCTGCTGTAAGAGCAAGCAGAGCTTATCGAGAATCAAATTCGCTGACAATGAAACATTTGGTAGGGTTGTAAATCCATTAATTCATGTTGCTTTAGTGTTAATTTAGTTAATCCTCACATCATTATTTCTGCAGGAGAAACTGCATGAATATTATGGACTGATGTTAGCTGTACATCATGCATTCTCTGATCGCTCAAGTGCATTGGTGACTTTACAAACACTTCTATCTGACTTGTCTTCCTTGAGTTTGAGAGAAGAAAAACTTAAAGCAGCATCTTCAAAGATATTTGGCAGCGAGAAGACTAGGACTCGTAAATTGGACGAACTGAAAGAAACAATTATTATTACAGAAGATGCTAAAAGTATTGCATTTAGAGAATACGAGCGAATTAAGGTAATATAGCATGTAATTTCGCAAAGCTTATATCAAGTTTCTGTTCACATATTTTTGTTTATTCAGATGCTATTTTCTGCACCTTAGTTATAATACGAGCAATTTTATTCTTTTTATAGTGAAAATACAGATCTTAATAGGTATAAATGGCAGAAAAGACGGAAATAAAGTGGCAATCCAAAATATTCAGATATATCTGATAATATGTTATAAGGGCGCTTAGCCTAAGGTTAAATTTGTCTTTTGTACGCCTAAGAGCAATTTAGTTTTTATTGTTATTATTGTTGGGTATTAATAGGCTTATTATGTCTAGGTTTATGTTTTGGTATGAGATTGAGTTCTGAGTTTTAGGTATAGGGTTTGGGAGATTTCCTACCTCTCGAATTGTAGGAATTAGGAGAGACTGCCAAACTCTTGAATTTTAGGTGTTTATTTTTGTGTTCTTGTTGAGTGGTTTGAATTATTACAATAAAATTCGTGTTTGTTCTATTTTCTGTGGAAAAACGTTTCGATTTTGACTGAGCTCAGTATTCTGGGATCGGATTAACATAGGAGAGAATTGATTTTCTTGGCGAAGCTGAAGCAAATTTTTCATGACCTAGTGCATAAGGGAGGTGAAGTGGCGTACAAAGACCTAAAAATCCCATTTTTCTCTTCTTTACGTGTTGTTTACATGATATAGTCGCGACTAAAGTTATCTGGGGCATAAACGGGGAGGTGGCTTTTTGAAACTCGTGCGATTTTCTTCTCCTCTCAAGTGATACAGTCGCGATTTGGATTTGGTGTGTAACTGGGAGGCTATGACAAGATCGTTGCTTATCGAGATCCAAATCTCCCTACATAGACGATATCTCCTGCACACATCCTTTGCTTGCGAAGTGATTGCGACTCACAGTGAGCGCGATTATGGGATGACAATGACGTCTCATAGTAATCGCCTTTCCAATAGTTTCATGGTATAAAAGTTTTTTCTTTGAGATCAATAGTTTTTCTAAAATAGATTGTAACAAAGAAAGTAGATGATCTTGAGAAAAAAATGGACGAAGAGATGAGACAAATAAAATTTGGGATGGAAGAAAGGTCCGCACCATAGAGGAGAAGTTCTCTTCTACGAAGAACCGACTGAAGGATCGATTCAAGAGCATGGGGGAAATTCGAGAGATGTTAAAGAGGCTCATTGAGATGCAGTTTAGGAACTTGTCGACAACTCAATTTGCAAACCTTAACCAAAGGTTGACTAGAAAATCCGTGGCAAGATCGAAATGACAAGAGATTGAATGCGTGGACCATGAGGAGGAAAACATCCACCATCATGACCTCCTCTCAGGGTTCCAATGAGGGTTGTATTAGAGATTTCTAATGGAGGTGATTGGGCCGAAACATGGAGAAGAGATTATGCCAGAAGTATGGGAGAGCACGAAGAAGAAGGGAGGGAAGTAGGGAGGGGATATGACTATGGTCGAAGGAAGGAGTAGGAAGGAGTTTTACCCTTGATACATGGGTGAAACAATGAAGGAAGAGGAAGTTGGGATGGAGATGTTAAGAGTTAGGGAGTTGAAGATGTCGATCTTTCAGGAGGAAGACACACATGGGTGGGTGTATATGGCGGAACAATACTTCACAATGAGTAGGTTAGATGGGGAGGAGAAACTCATGAAGGCGGGATTGTGTTTGGAGGGGAAAGCCTTAGCCCAGTTTTAGTGGAGGGAGGCTATACCCGATTCGTTTATGGGATGAATTTACGGATTGTTTGTTGGAACTTTTTTAAGCCATTCGGGAAGTAGATCTAAACGAGCAATTCTACGCTTTGACATAAGATGAAACGGTCATGGAATATAAGGAGAGATTTGAACTTTTGTCGGGACAACTGTGGGGGGATTTTCGAAGCAGGAGTGGAGGGGAATTTCACAAATGGCTTAAAGCCAGGTATATGGGCAACAATCCAACTACTAAGACCGTAGGGATTGAGAGAGATGATGGAGCTAGCTTATATGGTGGAAGAAAAAAACTAGATGAAGGAGGCCAGCAGAAGCAACACGGATGGAGTGTTGCACAGAACTGCTGCAACCACGACGATGCCAAAAGTTTAAACCGTGGAAGTCCAGAGGAGGCTGCACGGGACACGAATAGTGGGCCATGATAGGGAGCAACACTCAAGCGCCTTATAGAGATAGAGATTCGAGAGAAGCGTGCCAAGTGGTTATGTTTTTTGGTGTGATGAGAAGTTTACCCTAGGAAACTGTTGCAAGTTTCACAGACTACAAATTCTCATGTTGCTGGATAAGGAAGCATATAATGAAGAAATAGAGATAGCTGTGGGGGAGAAGGGCCCCACTCACATTTTTTCCCACCTTGATAATAATGGTCTTTTGGGAAAGGTGGTTTTTTATGAGGGCACTAGCCTAAGGGAAAATTTTTCTCTTGTACGCTAAAGGGTAATTTGGACATTTATTATTATTATTATTGTTGGTTATAATTAGGGTTGTTATGTCTAGGGTTAGGTTTAGGCATTAGATTGAGTTGTGAGTCTTAGTTTTAAGGTTTAGAAAAGATTTCTTATCTCTCGAATTGTAGGAATTGGGAGAGACCGCCTACCTCTCGAATTGTAGGTGTTTATTTTTGTGTTCTTGTTAAGTTGTTTTGATTATTACAATAAAAATTGTGTTTGTCCTAATTTCTGTAGAATAACGTTTCGATTTTGATGTCTGATCATATCATAATAATGATGGTATAGTGAAGGCTTTGAAGATAGTAGATTGTTACTACACTGATAAATAGATGAATGAACAATTATAATCATAACCTTTTTAAATTATCTTTTCTGCTTTTGTATTGCATTTGCTTAATTTTAAACAAATGTTATGGTTTGTGGAAAAATAAATTTTTGCTTGTGGTGCGGGACAGCTGTAGCTATTTGAAGAAGCAGCTGTGAAACAATTGTTCAAAAAGCAATGGTTGCTCTTACAATTTTTTTTTTTTTGAAAAAGTTAGGCCAAACTTTGAAGCAGCTACCGTTGGTAGCTAGGTCTGGTGGGAAAATGCAACTTTCATCTGCAGCTTTTTGAGAACATAGACAAAACATAATTTTGCCAAACAAAAAAAAATCGCTGTGCGGTGCCGCATCTTAACCGCTTTGCCTCCCCAATCAAACTCTAATTCTTGTTCCCAAGGGGCAATGCAATAAGTTCTCACATGTCAATTCACTTAAATATTTTATGGCTGCAAAGATGTCTTTGAGCTGTTTTTTAGTCGGGGGCATTTACAAACATTCCACCCTATTCCTATGTATTTACATATCTATCACCTAAAATTTATTTCTTACATTTATACCACCCAAATCTTTCATTTCATATAAAAAATACCGTTAACTTTTAAAGAGTGAAATTTACATTTGCATGCATAGGTAAGGTGACATATAATTAAAAAATGAATTTTAGAAGTTAGATATGTAAATACATTGGAATTGAGTGGAATGTGTTTAAATTTCCCTTTAATTAACTAGTAATATCTAAGATCATTACTTTGCTACCTGCTTAAGTTAACGGGAGTGCTAATTGATTTTCACTTTTTTGTGATCAGTTCTTCGCATCTTCATCATTTGAGGGCATGGCCCTGATGTTTATAGGAGCTTGAGGTTTTTTTTTTTTTTTTGAGTCAGAAGCTACATACTGTAGCAATTTTGAACCTGAGATTTCTAAACTTTGCTTACATCCTCTATTTTGGTTGATCTAATTGCACTATCTCCACCTACTTTTGGAACTAGTTTCATGACTCCGTACAATGCAATACTGCTTTACATGAAGAAGTCATATTCTCTTCTTTCCATCTAGATGGCATCACCAAACTAGTACATCTATGCTGGTTCTCATTTGTTCTTTGGAATATTTAGCTAAACCTTGCTGCTTTATTACTACTTTCGTTTTTAAGAAAGTTTTCGGTTTAGCACAATCAAACATGATCTCTTATTCGACAAGGGGCTTTTAGGTGAATTTATGGTAGATTTATTTATTTTTATCTTTCGATTAATCTCTGTTTATATAATTAATCGGGTGCCACTCTCCACAGATAGAAATATTACTATTTTCTATTAATATTTAGGGACATTTACATACATACCATACAATTCCTTTGTATTTACATATCTAACACCTAAAGATTGATATTTAAATTTGTAACACTTTGGTGTCATGAAGTTATGCATAAAAAGGTGTAATTCACTTTTATAAAGATAGTAGTGGTTTTTTTATGTAATATTAAATATTAGAGTGTTATATATCTAAATATGAAAGTTTAGGTGTTAGATATGTAAATACACAAGAATTGTGGGGTATGTATGCAAATGCCCCTAATGTTTATTGCGTGCAATTTCGACTATCAATGGCCTGATTTTATTGCCAATTCCTTTTATGGTGTTTCGAAAACATATGATATATATTCTGTCAGAAGAAAATGTTATTCATTGTACATCGGACATGAAATGGTGGTGGAGCTTCTTCATGAATTTGTGATATTTGTATCTGATCTAACAATGGCCAAACTGCAGCAAAATAACAACAGTGAGCTCGATAGACTAGACAAAGAAAGGCGTGAAGATTTCTTTGCCATGATCAAAGGCTATATAGTTAATCAGGTAATATTCAACACTCTTTTTGTCATATTGTAATGCTTTGTTTGATTTAATATAGATAGAATTTTTTCCCTTCCCTCGAGTCAAATTCCTTTTAAAATGCGGAGAGCATTGTAAGGTGGCTATGTTTTTCATGTTTCTCTTTGTAAATTGTGCAAACCTTTTCATGCTTGGTAGTGAACGGGCTTGAAATTTGGCGCTTCCCAAGAATTCTGGATTTATTTGGAGTTTTCTCTCAGATTTTAGGTATGAAGTAACTGAGTTTTTCAAAGCATGGATATTTTCATACATGTCACTTCTTGAGGATAATTTAAATATCTCGGCATCACTTGATTAGACTCGCTTTTTTTGGATTTGTAATATCTTGTTGGTTTGAGAACCCTGTGTTAGGATAAGTGTGTTCTCCATTCCAATATAGTTCCGGGTGCTGGAATCTGCTTTTTAGCAATCTTGACCGAATTGGCACATAACACCATTCCTTATTGTGTCTTGATATATAGAGGTTTCTAGAATGTGATATTTTTTTTGGCGGTTACTTATTAGAGTGAACGCCCTCTTTTCATCCGGCACTATTTGAAGTCTTAAATTTCAATGTTTAATTTATAAGATATTTTAGAATCTTTTGAGTTTAGATTACATATTGTTTGATCTATATGCTGTTCTTGGTTAAAGTCAAAATTGTGTCATGAAAATATAAAATTTGAGTACTAATACGTTGATTTTGTTTGTATAAGGATAGAGCCATAACTGGGTGGCTTTTCTTCTCATTTCTGAATGAACCGCGTCCAGTTCTTCAAAAATCAAACTGATTTATGTTTCATCCTGTTCAACTTTGTGGCTTATGGATGTTAGCTATTGATTAATTAATCATAAAATGATGATAGTTTGTGGAAGGGTAGAGATGTAAACCGTAGATCAAAAGTCATATGATTAGAAGCTGTTTATAAAAATGATATGTGCGAAGTTAACAGTTGTATAACACTCAATAGGAGTGAATGGAGATTAAAAGGTGCAAAACAATAGGCATGAACGAAAGTTAATTTATAATGAATAATGATGATTAATAAAGTGGATTCAATTGTTATAAAGCTAATGATGATAATGATCATATAACTCTCTTTGCAAAATTTTTCCCATTGGTTCATTCTATGCTTCCTTTTTCTTATATTGAGATGAAATAAAGTTGGCACTTCTTGCAATTCAATAGGAATGAATGATGATAATGATTAATAAAACGGACTCGATTGTTATAAAGCTAATGATGATAGTGATTATATACCTCTGTTTGCAAGATTTTTCTCATTGAGTCATGTTATGCTTTACGACAGATAAAAACATTTTTTATTTGCAGGATCATTTTGTGGAAGCTTTTTTATGCCTCTTAGAACGCTACTTCAATTTTGGCTATAACCTGTTTGCTGTTTTTAAAATAATTCTATGATAAAACGTAGCTTTCTATAACCAGATCTATTGGTGTTATGTTTTAAGAAAGTTATTCAATTTTTTTTAAATTATAAAAAAAAGTATAATGCTGACAATATCATTCAACAAATTTATTTTCTTAATATTAGTTTTACAGCTACATTTATAAATAGGTACAATTCCCTGTCGGCGATAAAAAGTGGGGGTTTGGGGGAGGAGTTGCCCGTAGGAAGCTGTCGGTTACCGGAATCAAAATTCCGTCGCCCGCTTCTAAAGGACGCTTTAATTTACATATAGTTTTAAGTTTAAAATCAAATATGAAAATCAAACTGATCCCATATTTTTCATAGTTTAAATGAAAGAGCATTTTACCTCGAACCCTGTATCCATCCCGAGGGATAAACATAAGACTTGAGGATGAGACTTGATCAAATAAACTAAGAAATACATGACATCCGTTTGGTCTGCAAAACTGTTTTATTTGCTGACAAATTCCCCTATTTAATATGAAAAATTAAATAGAGTTTATTTTAAGCTGGGTTCGGAAAAGCTTCCTATAAGGGCAAACCCCTATAGTTAATTAAATCTTAAATGACCGAAATCACTTAAGAATACTCTCGATAGAAATAAAAAAATTATCTTCAAGGACTTCAAAAGGGTGAGACTTTTCAACGAAATCGGACAAAGAGATGTGAAAGGGGAATGACTCAAGTTTGGAATATTTATTACAAAGAATCCAAAGAAGGAAGAGCTACGAAAAAGAACTAGGGGATGCCACAGATCCAGAGGAGATCCTCGGTGACTTCCCAGTCTACCCTATGGTTTGACTTCAGTTTTGAGGAGAAATTATTCAAATGTTTCATCCTGCCAATTTTATTTAATTGGGGCTTACATTCTTGTAAAACGTCGTACAAACGACCCAAGATATGTGAGGATTTAGGTCGTAACGAACGACAACGTCAGAATCCTAAAACGAGTTAGGGCTTAGATCGTACAACAAAACTATACGAATACCTAACGAAAAGTTGAGGATTTGTGTTGCGCTAGGCGAACAACCTCGAAATTCTATGGATTGTTGTTTTAATTCTATGAAAGGAATGATTTAATTGGGGAAGACATGTTCTGCTGTTGAAGATGGTCGTGCTGCCCACCACGCTAGTTCCAAGCTCCTTGTCGTGACGAGTTTAAGTTTTCTAGGGTGTCAGATTATAATGTCAAATCTAGCGGTTCTATGGTTGTAGTTTTTCAGATATTTTATAGATAATACGTTGAAGTTGCACGGTGTATAGCATAACAGTAATATATGTAGCACAGGATAAACAGTAGAGTATGCAGTAGAGAAAACAGTATAACATGCGGTGCAAAGAAAAAGTAAAAAGAATACAGCAGATAGGTGATTTGCAAGAAAGTAACATGCTGTAAACATAAAACAAACCTGTATACCTGGAAGATCCGCTGTTCCTTTAGGTGTAATTGATGCAACAAGTACAAACAACAAAATTTGAGGAAACATGTTGAAATGCTTTATATAAACGAAAGCAAAAGAAACGTCACGCAGAAAACACGAGAAAAGTCGTCAAAAGACTCACGACAAAAGAGATGCGAGGAAATCGACGAAGCGGCAAATCGATGAAAATCAATGAAAAGTCATAGAAAACACGGGAAAATCCTGAAAAGGGACCACGAGTGCTTTGTCCAAAAATTTCGAGAAAGACGTACGAAAAAAAAAAATTCGAAAAGAGGGGGACCGCAAGCACTCGGGTCGGGGCTAGGCTCAATTATATGTTAGCACTCGAGGGTCGTCGAAGGCTACTTGGTCATCCGGATGTATAAAGCCCACCACTCAACTAGAAGGGTGTCCTATCGAACCTAACTCAGGAGGGTACTCCTTAGCCTAAACAGGTGATCAACAGGTGGACAACCGATGTTTAAAATGTATTTAAAATTTATATTTTTAGCATGCACATAGGCTTCAAACATGAAAAAAAGTGGGTTGTATCAATTTTGTTTGTAGTGAAAAATGTATTTTTGTTTTAGAAAAAGGTGTATCTGCTTTTATCAAATTTGTTCTTTATCAATTTTTGAAAAGTAATTGTCCACGAGTCGATCGTGCTGTCGGGCATAAGACTACCAACAACCTAAGAAGGTTCGGGTCAGCTCCCGCTAGTCTTGTGTCAGTGAATGATATTGTCATCCTACAGCTCACCGGGTTCCTGAATCGGATCCTGATGGGTTCCTGAATCGGATCCCGATGTCGTAGGATGACATATCATTCTGCTCCATCTCCGGTGTGTCTTTGTCATTACCGCCCTAAGCCCCAAAACAAACCGATCTACTTGCGACCTTGCTTGATGGTTTCACGTATAACAAAAGACTATACGTGGACACTTATGTATCGGACATAAGCATAAAAAATCGAACCAAGAAGCAAGGAAAAAAGGAACAAAAATAGGGTGAGAGAGAGGAGACACTGATCCATCTAAAACACTGAAAAAACGGAGGATAAATCGGCCCTCAAAACTCGTAACAAAAAGACCTGAAAAGGAAGACCCAAAGATCCTTGAATTCACCCGTAAGGGTACCATTTTCTCATATTTTCATAAGTGGATCAACCCAAGTCAAATTGATCTCCTGACGCCGGTATCCAAACCACCGAAATATCTTTTAGTTTCAATCAAGTATTCTCCTGTAATAAAATTCGGAAATCTCCCAAACCTCACAATTTAAATAAAAGGAATATAATCCTGGGACGACGACCACTTATACTTCCAAAACCATGCCAACATAAAAGCTGATCAATCCCGGATTTGATGAAAATCTTCTCGTATCAAATAAACATAAATCCTTCGGCTAAAACCACATAGAAGCTCACGGCCAAGCTCAATACAAAGAGATGAACAACGGCTAAGACTCTCGGCCAACGCAACACAAGGGCAGCTGCTAAAGCCCTCGACCAAAGGCCACCCAAGACACAAC